GTATGTAAATCTTGATCTAAATGTCAACACTGTAAATCATCTTGGTGCGGAAAACCAATCATCGTCCCAATTCTGTAGAAGCACATTCTGTGTGTCCTAAATGTATCAATAAGCCCTTGACCCCTGAATCTATATGTAAATAATGCGGTACGCGATAAGACGAGTGTGACAATTCTGAGCTACATGATAATGAAGATCCAGGACCGTGTCCGAGTAAATGTGAATTCAGAGAAGTCACGTTCGAAGGAGCCGACACTGCAGAAAAAAATTGCGAATTGTTGTATTTCCCCCAGCACGAATATTTCAAAGTATTTGCTCATAATATGAAGGGTAACGACGGTTTTTTTCTGTTAGAGTACTTAATAGACCAACCCATGAGACCGGACAAGATTATTTATAGTGGCTCCAAAATACTGTATATGTCAATAAGGTCAGATTTATATATCAAATGGATTGACATTTTGAATTTTTTCAGCCCTCCCTTAAGCGTTTGGATTGACTGAATTAATGAAAGGTTGGTTTCCCAATTACTTCAATACAAGCAAAAATCATCTACTTATGTAGGCCCGTCCCAAGATGCTCAGTGTTATGGTCATGATTTTATTAGTGAGAAAGAGAGAGCTGAATTGTTAGTGTGGTTGAGTGAGAGAAAGGACGACGTGTTTGATTTAAAAAAAATGTTAGATTATTGTTGAAGTGAAGTAGATATTTTTAGATAAGCGTGTTTGAAATTCAGAGAGTCGTTAATGAGTGATATGGACGAAGGATAGAGGTGGTGAATGAAAAAGGAAAGAAAGAAAAAAAAACGTGGGTCGGAGCCACGGGTCCATTCGATTCCGTGATCAAAGCTTCCGTCTGCATGAATGTCTTTAGAACCAAATTTTTAGAAGAAAAATGAAAAGTAAAATGAGAGGGCAGTGATGATTGGATACCTTCAAAATTAATAGACGGAAAGCGTTCTGTGTTGCACGGAAACGAATGGATCCTCGAAACCAAACTCACGGGTGAGAAAGTAACTGAGACAGAGTTTGTAAGGACACCAATAGCGAAAATTCCTCCTTCTGGTTATAATGATCAATATAGCGAAGCGTCCATACAATGGTAAGAAAGGGCGGCGTGTACAAAAAACGTCAAAATTCAGAATGCTTAAAATAAGGGAGAGAAATCATTACTGGGAACACGTTACAAATTAGACGGTTACTGTGAAGAAACAAACACGGCCTATGAGTACCATGGTTGTATCTTTTATGAATGTCCTGATTGTTTCACAGATAACCGAGAAGAAACGCGCCACCCACTCACAAATCAATCATTAGATGAATTGTATGCGTTAACGATTAAAAGGAAAGCTTACATTCAACAATTAGGCATGAAATACGTATGCATTTGGGACCACGAATTCAAAAAACAAGATATTCAAAATACGGAAGTGAAACAATTCGTAGAAAGCTAAGATATAATTGTTAGGTTAGACCCGAGGGAAAGTTTCTTTTATATCTAAGCTTTGGACACACAGAATGTGCTAATACAAAATTGGGACGGTGAGTGGCTTTTCCGCACCAAGGTGATTTACAGTGTTGACATTAAGAGCAAGATTTACATACCTGTTGTGTTTGACAGTCTTTACAATCTCGTTTTCTATTCGCTACATATCCACACTTCATCCGGACTACATTCGAAATAAAAAAAAATAAATTTAGAATTATAATGGTTCTTGGCTGGTATTGATCTGAGATAACATAAATGGTCCTTCCATTACATATTGTTTGCACAAATATTCTCCACACCCATGGTCTTCTTTCTTCCTCTTGTCGGGCCTTATGACTTTGAAGCATGTTGGGCATTTCCAGTTTATTTTAACATTGGGATAGTCCATTTGGCTTTCCTTTGAATTTTCCTTTTTTGTGTACTGGTACTATCTTGTGTTGATTATAGCACTCTTCTGATCTACATGTCATATTGCAGTTATCACATTTAACTGTATTTTCTGTTTCCGGGCAATTATCCGTCTTACATACTATACACGAGGTCTGACACTTGTGCCTTTCTCTGTGGTTATAGTGTTTGAGTCATTGGTCGCAAAAATACCTCGCGCTGAAGAAGCCAGTAATGCTGATGATGGCGTAAAAGTGGTCGTATTCCACGAGATACAGGTAAATGCATGGACACTCGTCTTTACTAGGGCTTGAAATAAACTTGTTTCCCAGTCTGGCACTGACCACCATCACACGCACTCCCAGCACTTCTTCAAACGCCTCTACGTCATTTAAACTGGCTGGACGATCAAAGGGTACTCCGGCTAATTAACTGATGGCTACCGCTAATTGTCTCTGTTCATCTTTTTTCTTTTCTCTAAGCTTCTTGTAGTAACTGTCTGGCACTTGCTGGATTTCTAGTATAAGTTGTAGATTCGATTTATTTTGGCGTTTTTAGCTATTTCTTACCTTTCGTCTTAAATACATCTGTTTAACTTGGCCCAGCTCACCCCGATCGCCCGGGCCATACACATTTGGTCATCATTTTCGATGGTCACTTTAGAGGTTTTCAACTTCAATGAATTGTTTTTGCCTTTTAGTTTTGTAATTCTTCGCCTTGCTCCACCTTTGGGTAATTCAATTGAGCCTATAGTAATATAGAAGATTTCATCGATGGACAAGTTTTGGTTGCTGTTCAGTACCTTTTCAACGATTTTCATCACTTTATCGGCGGTCAACTGGTCCCAGGGCTGGAGGGGAACGGTTATATGGTCGTGCAATCCTTGATGATAAATGACGACACGACCAAAATCGTTCCCGCAAAATTACCCCGGGCTTCTGCGAGCACGTCTTCAAACATTTTGTGAAGTCCAGCTCTCACATCTTGCAGTCTCTGTCCATTATACTCTGTTCATCAATTTTAATCTCATATGAACGATCCACTGCCGCTTTTTTGTGCATACGTCCATTCTGATTTTTTTCTTATCGTATACTGAAGCTCCCGTTGGGCCTATGAGAGGGTCCCACTTGAGGCTCATCCCCACCCCCTATCATAACTGGTGACTGTGGGTACCACTCCCCGTCTTTCATCAGTTCATTGGCGTCTGTGAAAGAATTCACCATTATTTCAAAAGTAGCTGTTATGTTTTCCATGTTGTCGGTTAGAGTTCTGAAGTCAGAATGACAAAGGGGACGAAAGCGCTCTCTTATATACTCTCCGTTGCGCGAGACATATTTATTTTTGGTAAGAACGTCATCGTTCTCCATTTTAATCGGTTGATAAAAGTGGGTTTAAAACGAGGCCGTATATTTTTAGACGTCATGCTTCTCCACTATTCATTGGTTGATGAAAAAGAGTGGGTTCTAAACGAGGCTGTCTATTTTTAGACGGGACTGATCAAAAATGGCAATACCGGTTAAAACCTGTCGTAACTGTACCGTTTAACGATTGGCTATAGTGCTTTGTCATAAATAGTTTGATAGGCAAGGAGTAAAGACTGGGGGTAAGCTTACTAGTAATGTTAATAATTTTTACGCTTGAGGGATTTCAATTCCGGTTTGACAGTACGAATTTGTAGCATTTGTCAAGACGTTACTTTTGATATGCAGCATGCCTATGTTATATCCACTAATGAAAAAGTTATACGTATCTATACACATGAGTGATTTTGTCTGCCATATTCAAACTCTCCTATCTCAGAAACGGTAAACGATAGATCCATATAATGATATATTTTCTGTATCTACTCGCAGAGATCTTTCAAACGGTATATAAATCTAAGGGTTTTATGGACTTTGAAAAAATTGGTTTAAAAACCGTTAAAGTGCCATAACTCAAGAACGGCTAAAACTCGAATCAAGAACCTAGGGATTATTTGGAAGCATTCTGGCAGGTCTATCATTTAATGCGAAAAAGAAATCAACATGTATATCGTAAAAAAGTTGCACACAATACGAAACACGCATTTTCTGCTAAAAGTGTATGCTTGTTTTGCTGAGAAAAACTCTTATACGAGTAACTGTCGATCCATGTACAAAATGTAATTATCACATCTCATTGTTGTACTGGCTTTTTAACGACTTTTCCAATGTTGTTTGATGAACGGGATTTGATTACTTTGTCCGACAAAGCCATTTTATGACTTTTTCTGACATTGATGGATGGCCGTATAACGCTTGAACGCCAGACGTTGTGGACATTCTGAATGGATTAATTTTGACACCTGAATAGCCTATTGTCCGTTTTTAAATAAGCTGAAAGGTCATTAGAACCGGTCATGCGTATTAAGGAATGCAACAAACTTGAAAGAGTCATTTCGTTGCAAAACACCAAGGAGTCAACATCATATGTATGTATTTTACGCAGATATTCAGTTAATTATTTTACAGTAAAAGTCCTTACTATTATTTTATGTGGAAACATTATTTGACAGAGCCATAATATCGAATTAAATTGAAAATTAATTTCATATATTTTGTTATATGTTAAAAAAATTTATAAAGAAACACATTTAAATTAATAAATTAACTGTCTTAATTATTGTATTATAGAAAGTCAATTAGTCAGTCAGTTTTCAATTATATCTTATTACTAACGCATTTTCTTTTATTTGGAATGTTTATAAAAAACATATTTGAAAAAATATATATTAACATTTAATCAGTTTTTAATACTACTTTTATTTATAATGTTATATGAATGATACAGACTATTATTCAAATACAAAATGTCCTAATTGAAAGGTAAGTCATTTTAATTCATTCATATTTTTTATGAATACATGTGTATAATTTTCACTTGAAATGTTATCTCTCCGTCTAGGGCCGAGGACCTGACCTACAATGTCCGCGATTCAAGACCTAGATCGTGTATACGAGTCAGCTACGTAAAATGGATTTCTTAAAATAGACGAATGATAACATTCTAAAAACGATGACGTCATTCTATATATATATCCAATATGGCGTCGCGCATGCGCAGTCTTGGGGCTAAAGGGGCGCCTTTACTACTGATATAACACTTACCTTACATGCACCGCTCCCTCTGATACCAAGAAATACAAGTCAAATCTGAAACAAGATCTGATCCTTTTAGAAATTGCCGGAATATGAATCAAAATTTTGAAATAGAAAAAAATCAATAAAATTCTCATCAATGAACATGGTGTAACCCGTGGCAAAGGTACATGTTGCCTCTAAGTTTATTATTTCGATAATTAACAATCTTAATTCGATTTGTATTGGATCATTTTGAAGTTTTTTTTATATATATACACACACAACTGACGTTATATAAGTTTTTTATCTTTAAAACTAATTACATGTTCGGATGACTGGAAATTATCATACATTGATGAAATAGGGTAAACAACTATCACAACATCCGCATTATGAGGAATCTGTTTAACCTCTCATTCCATATATATTCATTGAATGGAATGCTTGTATTACTGAAGATATACAACGAGTGGAATTTTGTTTAAATATCGATTATCTTGAAGTTTGCTTGATGGTTCAATACTTATTCTGAAGAGATAAACCTTTTAAAAAAGATACTACATGAACACCAAAGACTTCGTTCAGAAAACTAGTCGTGTTCAGCCACGCGTAAATAACATACACAATGAAGACTGCTGACAGATTTCATAATGTTTAACTTGAAATGTTGTTTGTTTGTTTGTTTCTTATAATCACCATTTCGTTTAAGTAAAGTGTGTATTAATAATATATATTAATTAAAACAAAGAACAATGAATAACATATCATTTTATTGAGTAAGTCAAAATCATTTTCCTAATTTATGAAAAATAGTTAAAACCGGAGTTGTCGTTGGAGTAAGCATAAGATGTAAACCGTATTTAAACATGTACTTGCATTGTCAGGTCAATGCGGTGTGTTCATTAAGCTCAAAAGTGGCTTATGGGAATTTAATCATATGATTTTCTAAACATAACTGGGTCGTTACTTACAAAACTCAAACTTTCAGCTTTTCCTCAGAAATTTCAAACTGTTGTCATAATTGACAAGATATAAATATACATTTCGTCTACTGGTTTTAATTGATTTTCTATGTGCGTTCTATAGAGTATTACCTGTTGAAATTCATACAAATTGTCGTTTTTGTCGATAGCTAATAGAAATTCTTTAATATATGAATGTTTGATGAATAGAAAGTGGATGTCTGTCATTGTGTACTATTTGTACATATACAAAAACGAATTCTTAAATGAAAAAATGACTCGCTGTTTTCAATAAAAATGTATAATTTTACACTTCAGTTTGTTAGTGAAATCTTCTTCTGGCTGCTTATTAAATAATTTTCCATGATTTCCGTTTGTGTATAGGAAAAACCATATTCCTTGATATCATCTGATTCCATTTTCACACATTTGTGTCAGATCGGATAGACGGAAGCGCTATGTACAATTTCCAAGTTAGAAAGCCTAATTTAAAAAATCTGTTTAATTTACTGTTTAAAATACTTGTTTGTGTATGTGTGTTTTGTGTGTGTGTTTTTTGTTGTTTTTGTTTTTTTGCTGTTATTTTTTTTCAAAAAGAGCAAGGTTTACAAAGATTGCTTTGTTTTTACTATTTATAAGCTATTCACATTTTAGTAAGTTTACATTCCATTGGTATAGGTGGTTTCATTAAGAAATTGGAAGAGTGATAAGTGAATATGCGATGATGCAAGTACCATTTTTTTTCTTGATTTTGTCGTAAAGATGTAAGACCTTATTTTTCAATTTATCAGTCAGTATATAATGATTGTGCTATTAAAATTAGTTACAGAAGATAAGTGTATAAGGAAAATAATAATAAGGAATGAAAATAGTTAGCATTCAATAATAATGAGTAAAATTATTCGGTAAGAATTTGTAATATTGAAGTGAATCATAAAATTCAAAGTTGAAATATCTTTTTTTCCACAGGTGAAAAAAATTAGTAATGCATTAAATCATTTCTAGTTATAATATTGACATACAGAGTTAAAGAATGACATCTTAATTTTGCTCATTTTAAAATAACTATATTAAAAAAATCCCATTGAAATGTTAAGGGAAAAAACTATTGCAAAAATGTTGGTGGAATTAGTGTATGTTTATTTTAATATATAAATCTAATTATGATGATAATATGTTATGCTTTTGTATGCGTATTTTCGGGAAAATAAATGGGTAACCTATCCAGTGCATAAAACATTACGCTCAACCCGAGAACGAAAACGATTCCATTTTTCAGAGAGAAAACAATGATGTTCATCGTTGCCCCCGAAGCTACAGGTGTTATGTTTACGATATAGTTATAGTACATGAAACGAGTTAGTTACGAGGATAAAACACTGGCTGGGGCGACATTAAGGGATGTTTTTGCTAAAAAATGGCGAGGCCGTTGGGCCGAGACAGCTGTTTTGCAGAGACATCCCGAATGTCACCCAACCAGTGTTATATCCTCGTTACTAACGAGTTTCATATACTTTAACTGTTTTATCGCAATGGCATAATGTTTTTTTTTGTAATAGAAATAAACAAATAAATAAATCGTTAGCTACATTACAGTTATTTATGATAAGGCAGTTTTTTCAATGTATATTCGCTGCCACAAAAAATATATACAAAAAACATGTTAGAGGCGGATTGTTTACTGTTACCAAAATTGATTCAAGATTAAAGGGATTTTTTTTTTCAGTGGAAATAATTCATTCAGCAGATGTACCTTTTGATTAAATGAGAGTAAATTTCATTTCATTAATTTTCTTTGTTAATATTTATCATTGTATTTATATATTTATTTTATTTTATTGATTCCATTTGTTTTTGCTACTGGGAATGGTCGTTACAACTGCCCCATTGGAGCCTTTATGAAAAAAAAAACTGTATTGATATATACAAGGTGCGAAAAAACGCAACCGATATATAACAGTAGAATTTTTTTCCTATATGAATCAATGAAAAAAACTGTACTGTTATATATCAATACAGTTTTCAAATGTTCATTGAAGTGTACGAAGTATAATGGGTTAGTAAGAACAAAGGAAAAGTTCCAAACCATGCGATAATGACATGGTAGATAACATACACGGTGCATATCCATATCGGTACCCTCTCTGCGAAATCTACATAAACGGTACCCTCTTTACACATGCACAGGTTATTGCTTAAAACAAATCAGCCATGCATAACAAATGGAAAGGAGGTATTGGATGTGGAAAAGATAAATTCTACGGCACGCTGTTTTGTTATGTGTCCATTTTTTCAATTCTTGCAATCCCAAAATAAGCTATATGTAATCGACAAGTCGTGCCTCGCCCACCACCTTGACATTTTAATAGGGCTTAAATAAACCAGTGGCTTGATTATGTATGCTTCATACATATTACATATTTTCATTTATATATCATCTTTGGTAAAATTGGCAGCTATAAGTAACAACTAAATGTAAAATTATAAAAAAACCACCCTACTTTCGGTTTGCAGCGGCACAGGCTACCTCTTTTATTTTGATTTTTTATCACAGATACCATCTCTTTCAATACCTTTATACAAGGGTACCCTTTTAGCATAGCACTTTAAGAAACTAAAGAAAGCAAGTACGCACAATATCTGGAATAAGACTAAATGACACAAGTAGTCGGATTTCGACCGTAATGGTTTGGATTTGCAAGTTAAATAAATAAATGAATAAATAATGTAATTAATTAATTGATAAATTAATTTATTAATAAAACAGATAAACAAGCACAAACATATTACATAATTCCCATCATGAGCGCAAGTATAAATTGATGAAATTTTAAAACCAGCACTGTACGAATCTGAATTTTTTCGAATTGTCGTGGTAAGGGAAAGTAATTGTATTTGAAGGTATCTGTCATAATAAGAGCAACATGTAAGACAGTTATATTTTGACTTCCATATTAGATATTAAATTATTTTTGCAGTACTGGTTTACAAAGGCAACAGACTGAAGCAAAACATTGTTTAGGTAAATGACCAATGAGTAACTATTTGGAGACTATGACAGGAAACTAAAAATATATATCTATCAATAAAAGCATTTCTGAGACATGATTGGTTTTAATTTGTTTGGGTCGTCAGACCAAACAAATAATGGAAGCGAACTTTCAGACTCTAATGCTGTTAATTGCAATTGCCGAAATTAGTCCGCTTTTTTTAAGCGGTTACTTCCCTTTATATAAACACTAACGCCGAAAAAGTCAAGGGAGATCACTGCGTAAAGATGGCCAAATGTCAGGCGCATACATTTTCAAGCTAAATAATTCCCGAATGGTCGAATATTTCTAATATTGTTTTATTCTTTATAGATATACATGCTTATCTACATCTGTGTTAAACAACAGTTAGCGTCCTTACATACTCTAATTTAGAATAATATGGTTTTCTTCAGGTTGTTAACAAATAAATTCACAGTGGCCGAGGGGTTTGCTTTGCGCGCTTGCTTAGGAAGCGAGAAGTCTGGAGTTCAAATCCCAGTTAAGGCAACTCTTTTTTTTCAAAAAGTCAAATAAACATTGGATTGAATATCAGTGTTGCAATTAGTCTTATAGCCAATTTACTACAATTAAAACGCTGAAAAGTATTGGTGGCACTATACAAAAACAAATTGGTTTATAATCTCACAACCTTCACCTTTCTGACATTTTGAGACCCAAACAAATTCAGCGCCTTTTGTGCATTGATTGAAAGGAGATGTTAGATACTAGTTAGTAGAGCTGGGGCGAGTATCCGAGTATTTGGATAATCACGAATCAAAATGAAAAATTGAGTACGAATATTCGTCAGTCCAGGGATCGTGATTCGATCTTATTTGTTTTTTTTACATTCGCTGTTTCTTACACTTTAAATGTAAAAAAAATCAATGTGTGTATAATTATGCGACGTTTACCTAAATGCAATTTGCTCATTAAAGACAGGAAGTAAACAAACATGTACCATGATGCTGAGCTAGGAAGTAATTTGTTTCCAAAAAGGAATCACTATCTTTATTGAGCGCTTGTTTTTAAAAGAAAATAAATAAATATTTTTAGTGGCTTTGTATATATCTATAATTAAGTGGCATGTATTGAAGACTGTTTTATTTTTAAGAATCAAAAATTTGCGAAACGCAAGTTAATACGTCAGTGTGACATCACATTTATTGGCTGAAAAGGAGTCGCGCCAATATAAAATCCAAACAGCAAAATTTACTTCCAATTTTTGGAAATACTTGTCCTTTTATGTGATAACACAAGTTCGTTTTACCACCTGTATAAGCTAATTCGCCATGGCATGTTTTACAAACTGCTTTTTCCTCATTTTCATTGACGCGACTCGTTTTCAACCTTTGAACCTAGTTTATATTTGCATTGCATTGTTTAATGAAATTAATGTTTAGTTTTGTTTTAAGAAAAATAAACATGTTTCCAGAATTAATGTTCATGTTTTTATGGCTGTCTTGATAACAAAAGATTCGTGGTCCGATTTGTGAATCGCAAGTGCGGAATTGTGGATCAGATCGGATCGTCACTTATCCGACGATCCACACCCCGACTAGTTAGATACAGATATTAATCTTGTTCTCTCTTTATCCGGAGATAATTGAGATGTAAGCGAGTTAATGATTTTAAGCTCGAATTGTGTGAGAATATCATTTTTTTACATTTTTTTTATAATGAAGATGTGCTGTTAGCGTGCAGAACTACCTTATACAAAAGTGGTTTTTAATTGCGGATTTGTTTTTTGTCATAAATAAAAACTTTTGGTCTTAAAAATTGTGAAACAATTCGCAAATTTGTGAACAGTCTAGTATTAAATCGTTACTGTATCTATATATTGCGTTCATAAAAAGTATAAGTAAAATAAATGTGCTTAAGATGCGCTATATACTAAGAAGCTTTTATGATATAATAGTTAAATACTTTGTTCTCGTTTATGTTAGATACAAACAACAATTAAAAGAATTAAATTTACGATATATTTCACAATAATATTGGCTTAGATAAAAGTAAACCTTCCGGACTACCGAAATATTAATTTTTCTTCGTGTTTTGCGTCCAATGTTTTAAAGGCTGATTAGTTCCTCTTTCGAAGTATAAGTATATCCCCACCCCAGAGACACATCAATTTTATCCAAATGTAAAATAAAACTTATTTCAGCAAGAAAAAGACGTCCATTCAATTTTGAAATTTGGTAATTTTATTGTAAAATACTTTAAATGAAATCAGTTGTTTATTGTTCAAATATTGGGGAAAGAAAACAATTGCAAATACAATTTAAGTCATGGGCGCGGCCATAAGCAGTTACCAAATGTTCACGTAATCCAATGTCACGGGATCACCCAGCGTGATTTATCAATTAATTTATGTGTATAATAAAATTTCGAGTCCTTTTACCATACATAAGAGATACAGATACAAATTATCTCTATCAAGTTTTAAACAAAGTTTATAGTTTCTCTACCGTGGATATACCAACTACATTTGCATATTACATTTTCTCTTAAATTATATTCTTATGAATTAAAGTTAAATTTAAAAATAAAACTTACTTTAATTTCTTCTTGAGTTTCGAAAGGTTTATCCAGGACTCAATTCAGCCATCTTGATATATCAACAATATGGACACAAGTGACAGTTTTACATCAACTTATATGTAATGCGCCATAAGGATTGCTTATTAGAGATATAAGACCACATGACTTCGAGGTATACAAACCGTCCAATCACTGCATTGCAATAAACATTAACTGCGCAATCAGAGAACCCTAACTATAACGAAGATCTACAACGTGACTTCAGGTATTAACAAAACAAAGAATGTCATCTATTCACAATGCGTACAAATGTATTTATTACACTATTGTTAACATATTTAAAAAAAAATATGTCTGACAAAAAGTATTGTAAACCAAATATAAACAAATACAAAACATTATCAACAGGTATTTAGGCTAGGTATTTTCTGATCGCAGGTCAGGTAATACAAGGCTGACATTCAATATCTGGAATAGTGCTTTCAAACCAAAGGTGCTAGTCGCATTGGTTCGACATAAACCATGTTCAATCATGTTATTCATGTAATATAGTATCCATACATTAAAGAAATTTAAAGTATAAAATAATGTTATATTTTTATTAGCAAGGTATGCAACACTAGAATACGAGACTTATGGGTATGATTGGTGTCAAAATGTTCCACCGGATGGTAAAATCGTTGGATTTTTGCATGGAATCCTTGCAATGTATATTTCCCTATTCAAACTGACTATGAACAGATACTGATTTACATGCAGTTACCGTAGTTAAGCCCGAAAGTAAGAAATCACCCAGATCCAAAAGATTAGACCGTCATGAAATGTACATTGTAGCTTGCTATTTTTTCCGCTAGAAATATATTTAAAAAGAGATCAAATGGGTCGAACACACGTGTAAACAACTTGATTTTACAAACTTTCAATGGTTCTATGATCCATGAGTGATACATAGTCCTATGTGCCTGTATTGTAAAAAATATTCTACATGTTGACGATCTTCTTCCGGAAGTATTCACCGGCTTCTGTTTCGTATTAGCTAACATAGAGCGTAACGGGGTTACACTCACCTGTTGCGGATTAGTAATTACCGTCTTCATGAAGAATCTCTCTCAAATTTATAATAACTAAAAAGGAGCAATACATGACGAAACAACGGTAAAGAAAAAAAATTGATTATCACTATGAAACATAGCCTGTCCATCCTAAATATCATCATGTATGGACCCTTTGAATATCGTTGCTTTTGTAAGTCAAATGTACAAATCAACTCATATATACCGCAGAAAGATGTGCTGATTAATAAAGTGTAGTAACGCATTATTATAATACTTTGTTAATATATTAAGATATAATCTTATTTTTTTTAACTTTAAAATTGTTTTTACGAATTAGCCCATGATTTTGATAAACGAAATGATCTAAAAGAGGTACAAAGGCAAAATAATGACAAACACATTAAATTGATCGTATTTACTCAAATCACGATATAAAAGGAATGTTTAAAATTCCCGTCTGTCTTTATAAGTTATATATATTGCAGTTTAGAGCGGAAATATATAAACGTATTTTAATTGTAATTAAAATACAGACGTGTACATGTGCAATTGTTTTCAAACACATTATGTGACAAGAATAAGCATTGGAAGTTACAATAACAAACATGTTTGAATCAAGTCTAAGTCGACCAATGGTACTTTTACAGTTCTGTAGTCGACTTTGATATTTCTTACATGATCATCGAGGGTCCCGTTTTCATTTTGTCATCAAGAGATTCATTGCTTATAATTAGTGTATTCATTTTTCAGACATTATTACAATTTGGATGAAAAATTCAGAAATAAGAAGTCGAAATTCGCCTATATATTCCTTTAAATCATAATAAAATGAATACGAAAAATCATTTTCTTTTACTTGTATGTATTTACATTTAGTACCTAATTTTTTGCGTCTCTTTTTTTTAATTTATATTTTCAAACGTCCTTCGTTTACAGCTAACATGCAGGCCAAACATAAACATGTTGACGTTTCTATGTCAATCATATCTCGCATTATTTAGATATATTTCATAGCTTAATTCAGTTTCAAATTTGTTAAAGACAAATTAGATAAATCTTCATGCCTTTTTCGCTTCGTCGGGTTAAACTTTTTTGTAATTTTTTTCTTATAATGGCGCTGTAAATCAAAGATACAACAAAAGAATAGTTCAACTTGTGTTAAGTTCTATATATAACTGAAGTGGAAACCATAATGATACAATCCATTTCGTGCGTGATAAAACGTGTATTTTTTCACTTAGACGAACTAAGTAACCTAAGTCTGTTTATCGACATTATGGTAAAAAGGTTACAAACTCGTCTCTAAATATAGCGCATATTCATTGAAAATAATCTCATATAATGACACGAAACAGACATGGGTACATGTTTAGCTTTTAGATTATATGAATACAATAAACGCAATGTAAGCATATTGTTGAGAGAACAAATAAGAATAACCTTTAGCCTTTGTATGCCCAACAAAAACATTGTTTATTTTAATGTTGTAAAATAAGCCGAACACGATAAGATCTACACTTTTCGGTCGTAGCATTTCTAATTGGTTTTACAAGTTATACGTTATACATTTAACATTGTATTGCAAAATTGGGCATATAAGTTTGAATCCGCGTGTGGTAATCGTTAGGGCATTCGAGTTCCAATCTGCAATCACGCCGTTATTTTTCAGTATGAAGTAAAGTTATAGTTCCTGTGTCACCACTTAAAGGTATTAAGATTTGCCCTTTTTCGTAGTTTTGTCAGTCCGTGAGGGCAAACATTTCTGGTTTATGTTGAAAATTGCCACATCAAGACCAAAGAAAAAGCAAAAAGACCCAAATGTTCGCCTGTCCGTGCGTGTGTCCGTTCGTCCGTCAGTCCGATCTCATGTTGTTCTCAAGTAGCTCTGTGTTTCTTGAGATACAGTAAACAAAATTAAGAGAGGAATATTTATCAGCATGTGAAATTGCTTTTGACTTAGTTCGTAGTTCCGTTCGTCTGTCCGTCAGGGCAAACATTACTGGTTAATGTTGAAAAGTGCCACATAAAGATCAAAGAATAATCAAATAAACCCAAAATGTTTGACGTCCGTGCTTGCGTCCGTTCGTTTGTCAGTTCGTTCTCATGTTATTCTCAAGAAGCTCTGTATTGCTTGAGTTGAGATACAGTCATCAAAATTAAGAGGAATGTTGATCAGCATGTGACATTGCTATTAAGTTAGTAACAATTGACAGTTTTCAATTTGCGTCGTACGTAGTTTAGGAAAGGTATACCATAATGTCATGAATACTTACAGATAAGTTGGTCAGCATGTGAAGTTGTGCAAATTTGGGTTTGCTTGTGGGTTTATTCAGTATTTGTAGAGTTATTATCCTTGATCTTGTAAAGTGTGTAGTTTCAGACCTTTTAGTGAAACTGTTCTTGACTTCGTGAAAAAACGCTCTAAAATGTTGTGTCATGTGTACCCCGAGAAGTGCTTTTGCTAGAGTCTGTCTCCATGTCATACTCCCGCGGTACGCTAGTAGACTGCCAAGAGTGGCGTGTGGGACACTTATGTTCACATTTCTAGTTTTGTTTGTTTGTCACTTGTGTGTCCATTTTCTCTTGATAGATCTATAAACGTTTTTTATTATGTTTAAGTTTTCTGTTTAGTAAATAAATGTATGAACATTTGATTATGTATAATATTAAATGCTTCTAAATGTTATACATGTATGTTACTGGACATATAAAACGCGTTGTAAGTGATAACACGTGATGGTTTACCTTATCAATGAATAATAAGAATAACCATGGGTAACAGGAATAACCATGGATAATAGGACCAAGCTTGGATAATAGAAAAGGTAGAAATTCAATTTGAAAGAGCCTGTTCAGTTTACTATCTAAAAGCTGCTAAAATGGTTAAAGGTCTTATCGTGGTTTCTATCTCGACTCTGAATAATCAAATGTTCAAGGTGGTAAATTTTGCAAATGAAAATTGCTATAAACTTTGAATTGTCTGGTATTCATCAAACGTAAGTGATCATTCGGTAAAATATTTAAGGATAAAAAATATATAATGCCAAAAACCTTGTTCCCAATTAAAAAGGATGGCCAAAACACAATTATCTCGTATCATATTTTGTATTCAGGTGCATCGTATCATTAAAAATTACTTTATCTTTGGAAAATAAAATTTTTTTTGAAATAAATGTTTGTGAATTAATGTACCTGATATGTTTTAATGCTTAATAAAATCAAACTCACACAGTGTTTGATGTTTAATAAACGTATATACTTAGACAAAAGTTATGCAAACTTTGACAGACCCACATTTCGGTTAATTTTGATTTTTTCTAAATAGGATATCGAAATTGGTCAAATAAGCTTTTGAATTTGGTGAGGGTAACATTGCTGTACATATTTAACACATTGTTAGTAGACACCATCATTTTGCTTGGGTGATTTGTTAACTGACTGCTATTATTTGATTCTTACATAACAACAATCAATAAGAAAAAATCATAGTGATGATATTATAGATTATTAAGAGTTTCCTCATTTCTGAAATAAGAGCTTTTCTAATATCCAAGTTTTAGTTTAGAAAAGTATCCATAACTCGTAAACCGTACAGTAAAGTTTGTTTAAATTTTGCATACAGGTGTCCATCAGATAAATAACTGACTTTAGGAGTGTCATTCCTATACTTCTTCCTGTTATAGCATATAAATAATATATACGCTCCCATGACAGGAGGAACACTGATTGAAACTAGACAAAATATATTGATGTGCCAAAACTAGATTCTGAGATATGTTCGTTCTGGGTCAGAATCTCGCTTCTACGTCTAAACCAAATGGAAACCTTTCTGTGGTTAAACGTCGATTTAGGCGTACATGTGAAAATGCAGCGAATTGAAACAAAAGTGTGTTCGACAATATAATTTAAAGGATAAACGGCACAAAAAGTGCCAGTCTATCGACTTAGTAGTAACTAAACCACGTTAGTTTCATTTCACCGTCTCATTTATGTACCTACGCCGCCATATTGTAATGTTGCTACAGTAATGCAACATGTTTGCTAAAAATCGA